TCATATTAGCTTTTAGTCTTGAGGTCAAAACTTTACTTTTCACTTCGATTATGAGAAAAAAATAGTCAATTAAGTACGAAAAAATAATTTATTTATTTCAATAATTTACGCTTTACAACAAAATCACAAACTAAAATTCTTTCTTTTTCTTTTCATTCAGAAAAAAATTTTCGGGTATTTTTTTCCAACCAGACATAGATACCACACACGCAACAAAACGCCACGATTAGCGGTCTTCGGTAATCATGAGCGTCTTTCGCACGACTTAAGTGTTACGTCGCGTTACTAAAATGTACCATACACGAACGCACTAACGCGGGAAAATAATATGTCGCCACCGTCTATGCGGAAAAGGCACGGAACTAAAACTTGAATTATGACTATCTTTTTTGTGACTATTTTTAAGTGTTGTTTTAGTTGTAATTATATTGTTTCACTAAATGAACTTTTACCTTTTGGCACAAACTAGAGCAAGTACTGGTTGTTTGAGTTCGTTTAGATCACTCGAAGTAAATTAAAAATCGAGGTACTTTTTATTCCCTATGGATTATTGATGCACATTACTCTCGCTATGTAAGGCTATATTAGAACATGAGAAGTAAAATAATTATATTGTCGCATACCAACTATTAGTAATATATACCTAAACGGTTACAAATACATAGGGACTAAATTAATACTTAATATTATGACAACAAGATTGTCATTCTTGCATCAGTTGTCTTTCTTATACCCAAAGGAAACGATATAAAGGGTAGTACTGAGGCAATCAGCTTAATACATAATATGTACATAATAATCATGCAAGTTTGAGTAAGAAGTACATCCGTTGTACGTTCCCCGTAATCAGTAATAAACAGTACATAAATTTAGATGAATGAATATGTACAAACTTGCAGCAGTTAGTAAGAACAACACTGTGTTAGTAACAGTTACTTATCTTAAATTCATAATAAATATATAATTTTATCATTTATTGGAATTGGAATATTGTTTTAATATTATACGATCTACATAATCTGTAGTAGGCAGAACATCAATTTAGATGAGTGAACACGGCTTTTGTGAATAGAACAATCGTGTCCGATGAGTGAATTTGCTCAGCTCATCTATTCAATCAGACATCAAATGTTATCAGTGTTAACTGAAACTGAAATACGTATTTCAACAACATCGGCAAAAATATCCCTGAGGGTTTATGTCATAGCCCGCTGTGGTGGCTAAATGTTACTTCACACGTAACGTCCAAGGGTTGTGAGCTCTTTTCCAAAGGGTTCAGTAGCAGAAGACCTTCTTGTGAAAAGGTTCGTCCAGGGTAGTTCTGTAGTCTTACCTGTTTCTACCGCCAAGCAGTAATGTGAGTATAAAGTTTTTGTACTTGTATTTAAAAGAGGATGCAACACTTTGTTTAAAAAATTATCCATATTGGTCTTTCAGTGTACAGTCAACAGCACATCAAGCTACACATTGACGTATCTTGTTCCGTTGCACTGGAGGCTGGATTTTCGAACAAAAATGTGTAGTCTGATGCGCTGTCGTCCGTACATACTTAGTATCTTCAGAGATACCTTAGTAGCACGTAGGTTTAGTCTCATATACTATTATATTTACACTTACTAAGGCCAATTAATGGTAGGGTAAATGTAAAAATTTATCACAAGATTATGTTTTCATAAATTTTGTTTTTAGAAAAAATACGTGCGAATTTGACCTTCATCCACTTGATGAAAAGTGACGATGGAGCATACGCACCTATATAATAAATATTCAACAAATTACTGGCAGGGAATTTTGCTAAGTAGAATTACGCCATATCAATGTGGAAGCATAACGCTTCGTGCGAATCCTAGGAATATTCACAACATAGGGCTGCAACTCCAGGCTACGTTTGTTCCCCCTTGATGGCGGAATTAATTCATTGTCCATTAATATGTATATCTTGTGATATTGTGTTATATAAGGGTGGTATTTAGGCTTAAGTTAAGACTGCTTTGTAGAGTAATGTTCTTTTTGTAAACTTGGCATCTATCATTCTCGTTAAAAATGGTTGAAAGTAACAAATTATACGCAATTTCAAGATTTACATTGACCTTATTATTGAAAACTGCCTGGCCCCTACAGGTGGATATCCATTATAAGTGTTAGTTTACAATTTTTATGACACCAAGGCTCACTTTATCCTGCTATATGGAATTATATGAGGCCATGAGAACCATAGTGGCCTAATTCAATGGACAAGCCATAGTGGCCTATCTTACTTAGGCCAGTATTGCACCTCAAATTTAGATCACAGACTAAAAACCATAACAATGATTATGCTGCCACCTAGTGAAAATTCGTTGTATCACTTTTAGACCTTTCTGGTTCTATCAAAATGATCAATTTGAACTGGTAAAAATCATAAACTCAATATTGTAAAAAAATGAGTTAGGCCACTATGGTTCTCATGGCCTCATATATAAGTTTAGGTAAAGTGTACTTTGTTATGTATGACATGCCTATTGTGAGGTTTTCATAGTAGACATAGAAATGAGACTCCAGTGACTATTATAAATTGTACCTATTATAATATTTTTTACTATGAATCCAAACAAAATAAAACCCCGTCCTTTCTCGTCAATGTTTTTCGCAATGGCGGCAGTCAGTCGGCGTTCCAATATGTAATATACCCTTCTTTTATTTCTTAACTCGATAAAACTAATTCTTAACGAAGCAAAGTAAGTTTTCTAACAAAAAAATAAATTGATATCGAGTTCTTAGGTTTTCGCGATTGTTACACATAGGAAATGAAACTATTTTTCCGGATTTAAATCGCGTACATTTGTTTTTTCTAACAAACCGACGTTTCGGGCCCTTTACATGTCCCATGGTCACGGTTGACTGAGGTGGTACAGTCTTCAACCAGTTATGTCTAATATT